AGATATATATATATATATAACAAATAAAAATATAAATACGAGTGATATCATAGATTTATAAAAAAAAATTATATATATATATATATATATATTATTTGTAAAAAATATATTTATATGTAAGTTTAATTTTAATTTAATTATTAATTAATAATCAAAATAAAATTTATAATTTAATCCAATCTAATAAAATTTATTAGTTTATATTTTTGGTTGATTTAATTTTCGTTTTTTCTCCCTTTTTTTTATTAGATTAGATAAGTTTATTAACAGAGTTATCGATTTCTCTAAAACAATGGGGCATTTGGGTCAATTACATACCTCATTTTAATTTGATGAATTTATTTATTTACGGATCTGCCATTCGCCCCTTTCTTCAAAGTTCAATCCTCATCATCATCTACGTTATCTCTCTCTTTCTCTGTATGCGTGCCTAGCTGAGTAGAGTGAGTGAAACCAGTGGACCCCTTTCTCCTTCTCTTCTCTTCCAATCCAATCCAATCCAATCAAAACCAAAACTCCTTTGCTGATTCTCATGCTCAATTATGCTCTATTCCTCAATTCAATTCCCCTCTCAATCTTTCTAGGTCTCATCTCAATTTCTCCCAGATTTAGTCCTTCATGGCCGCAGCCGCCAAGCCGGAATCGGAATCCGCCACGGTTCCAACGGATCAACCTTGCAAAGTTTCCATGGTGAATGGTTACATTGTCTACACTCGAGCCAAGAGGCCTCTCGGTTCGTCCAACGGTTTTTCTGGACACGTGGAATTAACCGCGAATGCGGAGCTGGCAGTTGAACCGGGGAACGGAGAGTGTAACGAGATGAAGAACGAGTCCCCTGACGTAGCGGGGAGGACGCCCAAGCGGTGTCGGCGATCGTCCTCGAAAGCGATGGTTGAGTGTAGTGATCAGGCGGTGGTGACTGAGTCGGAGCAAGTTGGGAATTGTGAAAGTGGAATCAACGGTCCGAAGAGCAAGATGGAGTTGAAGATGTCCAAGAAGATTGTCGTCAACAGGAAGCCTATGACTGTGAAGGAGCTATTTGATACAGGTTTGCTTGATGGGGTCTCTGTGGTTTACATGGGAGGCATTAAGAAGGTGCGTTTTCGGTTTTCGTGTGCTCTGCATGAATGAACTACGTTACATTCCGGGCAAAAATGATGAAAAAGTCCTTTATAGTAAAGATTGTTAGTGAGCTATCAATTTTAGTGAGAAATATTAGCATGTGTTTTTAAATTGAAAGTAAGCTCACTTTTTAGTAATCGCGCCACGTCTATAACATAACATGATGTGATATTGTTAAGTTATAAGTGCATGACTTAATTATATAGTTAAAGGTTAATTTTATGTAAAATCAGTGATGTTTATAATAAAATTAAAAAAATATCACAGAAATATATAATTAAAGATTTGATTTCAAAATAATCTTTGATTACCATAAATAACACTACAGGTACATATTATTCTTTGTTATCAGTTTTATAGCACTGGATGAATTATTTCTGTGAAGTATATATTCAATTTTAAGTCTGTGTATATTATACTTATTAAAAACACAATCTCTGGTTCTCTGTCAGATACCATGAAAAAAAAAAGGATTGTGCCACGTCTTATTTATTTATTATTGTAAAAAGAAGTAATTAAGTAATTCAAGACTTATTAAGTGAGCGCTGAGCCATTAGGAGAAGTGTTACGAGGGAACAACCTTTTTATTTGGGACTTGTTAGTTACTGCTAGAGTGAGGCATTTATCAATCTAGTCATAAAGTTATAATGTATTAGAACTAGAGTGAGGCATTTACCAATTTAGTCATAAAGTTATAATGAATTAGAAGTGGGACGCTAAAATGATAGTCTATGGTCCCTGGCTCTTTCAGCTTCTATAAGTTCGAGGCTGTAAATTTATTCCATAATTATCCTTCTAGCTGGTACTCAATACTCTGTTTGAAAAACGATAGATTTAGTATATTCAATGTGTATGATCTTATTGCTTATTATTATTATTTTAGGCTTCGGGTTTACGAGGTGTGATTAGAGATGGAGGAATATTGTGCTCGTGCAGTCTATGCAATGGAGGCAGAGTGAGTTACGATTTTGTCTTTTCATACCCATTTTATTCTGTTTTGCGAATTACGATTCTGTCATTCCATACCCATTTATTTCTTATTCTGTTTCTTAAGTCTGAGACTGTCCTGTCTGTCTTTTCATACCCATTTGTTTCTTTGGTCTGAGACTGTCCCGTCATTTATTTTGTTATGTTTCTCCTGCTTACGTAGGTCATTCCACCTTCCCAATTCGAGATCCATGCTTGCAAACAATATAGGAGAGCTGCGCAATATATTTGTCTCGAAAATGGAAAGAGCCTGCTTGATCTGTTGAGAGCATGTAGAGGATCTACCCTACATACTTTGGAGGTGACAGTTCAAAATTTTGTTTGTTCTCAACCCGAAGAAAAATATTTTACCTGTAAAAGGTGCAAAGGTGAGCTTTGTTTTTGCTATCCAGAGTCATTTGTTATTTGATGTTCATTATGTCTCGCAGATCATAGTTTTATTTTATGTGCAAAATTTAGGGGAAAATGCTTTTTTTTTTTAAAATTATTTTTTAATAATTTTAATTATACTTTTAATTTTCATTTATTTATTTATTTTAAGATTGAATCTAATATCACTATTTTAAGGATGTTCAATTTGTTTTTTTAATTTTTAAAAAATATTTAATATTATCCTTGTTGTCAAATTAACATTTGTGTTAATGAAATTAGATAAAAAGATAAAATTGAACTTTTTTGAAAGTTAAATAAAAAATTGAATAAATATTTATTTAACATCTTTTATCTAGATAAATTTAAATTTTCTTTTACTTATCTTAATAAGACTTGAATGATATTGAAATTAAAAAAATGATAAAAAAAATAATAAATTATCTAATGAAAGAGATTATTAAATAGATAAAAAAAATTTAAAATTTATCTAGACAAAAATATTATATAAATTTTTGTTCAATTAAGTTTATTTATTTATGAAATATTCAATTTAATTTTATTATTTTAAAATGATTCAATTTGATTATTTAATATTTAAATAACGTTCAATAATATCTTTTTGTTTGATTTCATTATTGGTGACATATTATTTTGTAGTCTTCGACATAAAAATAACATTAAAAATTATTAAAAAATTAAAGAAATAAATTGAACTTATTAAAAATAATGAGATCCAATTAAATCTTAAAAATAAATAAATAAAAGTATAATTTTTTTTTTGTCGAGTGGTTGCTTACTATTAGTATTATTATTTTTCCCACAGGATGTTTCCCTTCTTCATTTGTAGAAAGAGTGGGGCCCATATGCCGCTCTTGTGTGGAATCAAAGAAGTCTGAAGAAAGTTCAGATGACATAGTTGGCAAAAGAGTTAGGTACTCATTTCTTCTACTTAAAGTTGTTAGTTATACTCATATTTGCCGACCTGCATCGTGTAGAAATTCTAAATGCAATTGATTTTGGATTGTTTCATTAGCCCTTTTTAAGTAGGCTAATACAGAAAAGTGAAACATTTTATATTTTTCCATCTCATCTATCAAATTGATTTGTTGTCAAGTTTTCTTTTACTGAGTTTTTGTCCGCTGCCATTGAGATCTGTAAAATTAAATTATCTTAAACTGTATCCACTACATATATGATTCCAGCACCCAGTATTTGAGTTTTTATCATGTTAGTGTATGCCACTGAGCATGCAACAGTTATGAATTGTGAACATACATTAATTGCTTTTGTACAAGTGAAGGTTCCAGGTTAAAGTTTGTAGACAACTGTAATAACTTAATTTGCGATTTATTTTGTTAAGCTAGGGCTAGGAATATAATATAATCATATGAAATGACATAATGGCACAGTTTAATGGAAGTCAAGGCTAGGTTCAAAATGTTGAAACTATAAGCCATATAAGGTGACTTGCCTTTTATGTTTTTCCCTGCTCCCTCTCTAATTTTATACTTTCTTTTATCATTTTATAAAAATATGTCAGGTCTCCTAGACCAGTCCTACTCTCCAAACCATCCAGTACTTCTGAGCTGTCTGTCTCTTCACAAATTAGGAGACACTGGAAGAAAAGAACAAAGTTGGTATTCATATCTATTTCAGCTATCCTATACATCTTACAAGTTTTTGCATGGCATTTCTAACTAACCAGTGGTCTATGTGATTACATGGTTTCAAACTTTAATAGATTTCATGAATTGATAATCTTTCTTTGATAACTGTTATGTGGTCTTCTTTCTCTCTTTCTGAATTTACATGCTGCCAACTGTGTTATTAAGGTCATCAAAAAGGGTTAACCATTCAAGTTCTTCCAAGAATGTTTCTTTGGCCGTTCTACCCCGGAAGAAAAATTTGTTGAAGATGAAAAAGAAGTTTGTATCTACCTTTATTTTTTGACATTCATGGTGTATTTGGGATAATATGGTTGTGGATGGAATTGTTTACAGAAAAATATTTTTCCCTCTTTATTCTAATCAATTGTTTTTACTAGGTCACGGTCTGTAAAGGTGAAGTCTTCGGAAAAAACTTCAAATTCAAAGTGCTCATCTAATAAGAGTCAATGGAAGATAACCAAGAAGTTAGTTCCCTTCATCTCTTCTTTTATGTGTATTTATCTAGCTGTATTATTTTATCACTTGTTGGTGATGATAATGATTATTTTTTTATCCAATGTTTTCTTCTCAAGGGATCAGCGGTTGCATAAGTTAGTTTTTGAGGAAAATGGATTGCCCGATGGAACTGAAGTAGCTTATTATGCCCGTGGACAGGTTGTTTGTGTGTATTTTATGTACAGGTTATTGTATGTCTATTATTCTGTTAACTGTCACATTTTGGTTGACAGAAATTGCTTGAAGGTTTCAAAATGGGCTCTGGAATTGTTTGTCGATGCTGCAACACTGAGGTATTGCTCCTTACACTTGTATATTTGTAGGCAATGCTTAAGAATCTGCGAGCATAATTTTCTTTCAATGTATTAAATGTTGTGCAGATCAGCCCCTCACAGTTTGAGGTCCATGCAGGCTGGGCTTCTCGCAAGAAACCGTGAGTCTTTTTCTTCCTTGGGAGTTGATGGAAGGGATATTAAACTGCTTTTTGATTATGCATATAGATTTTAAAGTGCAATAATGTTGGGCAGCTATGCATACATTTACACATCAAATGGGGTGTCTCTCCATGAGTTAGCAATATCTCTCTCAAAGGATCGAAAATACTCTGCAAAGGACAATGATGATCTATGCATTGTTTGTTGGGATGGTGGTAATCTGTTGCTTTGTGATGGATGCCCAAGAGCATTTCATAAAGGTCAGATATACATTACAAAAAACCTTTATGGCAAATTATCTATTTGCTACAATTGTTTGAAGAGTGGAATCATTTTTATCTCCGTTATTTATTATCCTTTCATTCCTCTGCATTGTTGTAACTCGTAAGGACTAAGTTCTTTATTGCATAGGTTGATGATGTCTAAATTATGGTTATTGAAACCAAATTGCTTGATGAACCAGTCAGGTGACTGGTCTGAGTAGCCTATTAGGTCAGATACCCACCCAAACTGTCTAAAAACAAGGTTTAACTGGTACTAGTTGTGTGAAATAGTTGTAAAATATTTTAGTTCCATGGTTATGGTTAGGCATCAAACTTGGGACCTGATAATTAATTCAGGGGATAGCAACTACATCACAGTGTATGATCCGATAATTAATATAACAGTATGTTATTTGGTTGACCCATTGACCTAATACCTTGAATGAGTTGATGATCAGGCTGAGTTTAAAACACTGCTTAAGATGCTAATATGTTAGGTTCTTTGGGAACAAGAGAATTTAAGTGACCATGAAGATCAGATTCAGGATTAGAATTCATAGGTTACCTAAAATGTCAGACACCTTTTGTTAATCCAGCACATACCTCTTCTATACCTCTTTCTGCAAAAATAACTGAGCAAGAACTAGAGAAATTCTTCTTATCTATTTTTTTCCAGATTTAATATTTTTTCCCTTCATGTTCACGGGTAAATACCTCATTAATAGTTGTGTTATACTAGATTTGTTATCTAAAATCTTGAGTTAGCATAATCTTTCATTGAACTTATTTTGTATATATTTGATGGATAGGATTCTTTATCTGATTGAATTTGTACTCTCGCCATGGTTTTTGGAAAGTTGTGTATAAACTATTGTATTGTTACATATCTTTCTAAATGGTACTTGTTGTGATTCAGGAATTGTGTGTATTGTTGTACACACATCAATCTTATTTATAGAGTGAATACAATAAATGATAGAGATACTAATCTCTTATATTATGGAAACTAATCTAATCATATCCCTAATTGATAGTGAGGATAATAACCATAATATATGTATCCACAATATCTATAACACTCCCCCTCAAGCTGGAGCATATATATCATATGCACCAAGCTTGTTACAAATATAATCAACCCGAGGCCCTTTAAGAGATTTTGTGAACACATCTGCTAACTGGTCACTAGAGTGGACAAATTTAGTGGTGATTTCTCTTGAGAGCACTTTCTCTCTTATAAAATGACAATCTATTTCTATGTGTTTAGTCCGCTCATGGAAGACGAGATTGGAGGCAATGTGGAGAGCAGTTTCATTATCACAGATGAGTTTAGTTTCCTGAGTGTCTCTAATTTGAAGTTGCTTGAGAAGTTGTTGTAGCCATGTAACTTCACTTGCAGCTGCTGCCATAGCACGATATTCAGCTTCCGCAGTGGATCTAGCAACTGTAGTTTGCTTCTTGCTTTTCCATGAAATTAGGTTGCCTCCAATTAGAACACAATAGCCAGAGGTAGACCTTCTGTCTGATGGTGATCCTGCCCAATCAGCATCTGAATAACAAACAATTTTGGAATTGCCTTTGTCCTCGTATAGTAGTCCTCGGCCTGGTGCCTTCTTGATATATCTGAGTATCCGCATTGCTGCAGTCCAATGACTATCACGAGGATCGTTAATGAATTGGCTTACCACACTTACTGGGAATGCGATGTCTGGCCTGGTGACAGTAAGATAGTTAAGTCTGCCAACAAGTCTACGATATCTTTCTGGGTCATCCAATGGCTCCCCCTGACCAGGAAGAAGCTTGATGTTGGGATCCATCGGAGTATCACTAGGGCGGCAGTCAACCATACCAGTCTCAGTGAGAATGTCCAGAGCATATTTTCGTTGGGAAATTGCAATACCAGAAGTGGAGTGAGCAACCTCGATCCCCAAAAAATATCTAAGTGGACCAAGGTCTTTCATCTGAAATTGGCGTTGAAGATGAGATTTGAGACGACAAATACCATCGGAGTCATCACCAGTAATGACAATGTCATCAACATACACCACTAAATAAATACAAAGTCCAGATGAGGAGTGAAGGAAGAAAACAGAGTGGTCAGCTTCACAACGAGTCATACCAAACTCAATCAAGGCGGAGCTGAAGCGTCCAAACCAAGCACGAGGAGATTGCTTCAAGCCATAAAGAGAACGACGAAGACGACAAACAAGGTGAGTCTCACCGGAAGCAATAAAGCCAGGGGGCTGATCCATATAAACCTCTTCTTGCAATTCACCATTTAAAAAGGCATTTTTAATATCCAATTGGTGTAGTGGCCAATGACGAATTGCAGCCATAGCAAGAAACAAGCGAACAGAAGTCATCTTGGCGATAGGGGAGAAAGTATCCCCATAATCGAGGCCATATATTTGAGTATAGCCCTTTGCAACCAATCTCGCTTTAAAGCGGTCAATGCTACCATCTGGTGCAACTTTCACTGTGTACACCCATCGACAACCAACGGTAGACTTGTCAGGTGGTAAAGGTACCAACTCCCACGTGCCACTAGTCTGTAAAGCATCCATTTCATCTAGCATCGCCTGTCTCCATCGAGAATCAGCCATAGCTTCACCTGTAGACTTGGGAATAGACACAGAATCCAAAGAAGAAACAAAAGAAAAGTAAGAAAGAGACAATCGATGACAGGAAAGAGTACAAGCATATAAAGGATGAGGAGTGCGGGTAGTTCGAATGCCTTTATGAATGGTAATGGGTAACTCAGGCACAGGATGTGCAAGTGCAGGAGGCATCGCCAGAGAGTCGATTCGAGCAGAAGATGAAGCTGGGGGAGTTGTAGATGGAACCACCTGTGGATGACGTGTCCTACGCTGATAGACAAGTAATGATGGTGAATCAATTACTACAGCCGGAGCCGGAGTTGGAATAATAGGTTGATCATCCAAAGAAGTATGACTAGTAATATCCTCATAAAAGAAAGGAAAGGATGACTCAAAGAAGGAAACGTCAGCGGAAACAATATAGCGTTGAAGTTGTGGACAAAAACAACGATATCCTTTTTGGAGTCTAGAATAACCAAGAAATATACACTTGAGAGACTTAGCAGAAAATTTATCTTTACCTGGAGTGAGATCATGGACAAAACATGTACAACCAAAGACGCGAAGTGGAACAGGATAGAGATCTTTTTGTGGATATAAGATGGTGTATGGGATTTGATTGCTGAGAACAGAGGAGGGCATGCGATTAATCAAGTAACAAGCAGTAAGAATCGCATCACCCCAAAATCGAAGTGGAACTTTGTGATGAAGGAGAATAGTAAGAGCTGTCTCAACCAAATGACGATTTTTGCGTTCAGCTACACCATTTTGCTGTGGTGTGTGGGCACAAGAGGTCTGATGAAGAATACCTTGGGAGGAAAGAAAATACTGAAATTTTGAAGATAAATACTCTTTTGCATTATCAGTGCGTAGGGTTTTAATAGATTGACCAAATTGATAAGTAATTTTAGTGAAAAAACTTTGAAAAATATGAAAAACATCAGAACGGTGTTTCATTAAGAAACCCAAGTACAACGCGAAAAATCATCAATAAAGATAACAAAATAAGAATAACCTAAAGTTGAACAGACTCGACTAGGTCCCCAAATATCGGAGTGAACCAGGGTAAATAGTGACGCAGATTCTCTCTTGGATAAGGTTAATCTTGATTGCTGGATCTTGGTTAACCATTCCTACATATTAAATATTCAAAATCAGAGATATAAATTATTATTAATATAATATTATAAGTTGCAATTGCAGAACTTACCTTGTATAAATGATGCAATTAGCTCAGAATCTAACTTATTATGATCTTGTGACAAAGACATGTTCAAACATGTATGACGTCCACCCCATTGAGTCACTTTCCACTTGTCAGATTTCTTTGACTCAATAGCTCTCATGT